AGTGGGAATCTTTACCTCAGAGATTTTGGAGAACACATTTTCTCCTGGACTCATCACCCCCCCCCCTTTCATAGACTTTGAGGTTTGCTCCCTGGGAGACAGAAATCATCTTAGAAGGGACAGAAAGAACTTTTCAGAAGTTATTGCAGGTATCCGCAGAATATTAGTCCTTCTTCATGCTATGCCACTTGCGGTGAGTCCCTGCGCTAGTTTGTAACAGGAAATTCCTGTTGTATTTGTTAAGTGCTTTACCTGTGGTAACCAAAAACCTAGAATTGCTTATTAAAATTTTAGTTTTTGAAGAAAATCTGTCTGTTCTTTTCTATGATTTTATTGACATAAAATACTACAAAAGCCCAAACTAACTTCTGATCTTGGAAACCAGGTTGATGAAATTCTTAGAAAGCAAGCCAGGGGACAGTGATTGAGCAGGAACCTAAGTAACATCTCATCGTCATGTTTTTCAGTTGTGAAATGTATAGGGTACCTGTGTTATAGATGAAGAAACTAAATTGCCCAAAGTTTATGTTTTTTTTTTTTTTTTTTTTAATTTGTTTTGCTTTCGGTGGTGCTGGATTTCACAGTCAAGGCATTGCAAATTCTAAGCAAATGCTCTTATAAATAGCCATACATACCTTCAGCCCCAAGAAAGTATAAATGGTTTTTAATGTCACAGACAAATAAGAGAAAGCAATGAAGCGTTTTCTATAGGTCTTAATGAAATATATCTGTTTCAGTGAGTCCACCCAGGCTGAACCCCTCTGCGGTACTGGCCACTGAGCCCGTGACCACACTGAGCTACACAGTTAGTCATTTTTATTTATTTTTCTAAATGTTGAGAGAGGACCTTTGTATGCTGAGTCTTGCCTGGCTTGAACTTCAAGCTCCCCGACTCAGGCTCTGAGGGCGAAGGTTACAGGTGGGTACCCGAACTCCTGGCTCTAAGCTCTCTGTCTCTTACTTTGCTGGATTATATGTCTCACAGAACTCAAAGAGCTCAGTAAGGGATATCACCTCACTCTCTGTCCAAATTCTGAATCCACTGCAACAAGATGGAATTCGCCAGTGGAAATCATGCTGTGTCCTTATTTCCAATAAAACTGAAACTCAGGGATGGAGGGCATCTTCATTTCACTCTGCACCTAGGTACTACTGGCTCTAAATGTACTCCCGACTGACACTCTAGAAAATTCAACGAAGGAGTTTGGCCACCACATGACACAGTTCTCACTCTGATCTCATTACCAAGTTTGTCGGTCTGTCTGGTGGAGAGAGGAGATTATAACAGGCAATCATCCTAAACAATGTCATCTCTCATTACTTTTACCCTCGCTATCAACAGGTACTGAGAGGTCACCAGAAGCAAACCAAAGCCTTCCCCTCTCCTGCTGCTGATTAGCATATGAAATACTGAAGCTTTTCCTGTACAAAATCAAGTATTTACTAGTTTTCGCTAAGTCATGGTAGATGATGGTAAAGTGTGAATCATCTGATAGGAGAGAATTTAAAACTCTGGACCATTCGCTGCATGAATGTACATTGTTATTGCTTCTATTTCCATGAAGCTATGAGAAGAGATGATCAAATATGACTCCCAGCGGCCCTTTGGCCTTGATTTTGGCAATATTTACTTCCTGCCTCAAACCTCTGTATCAGTTTTCTTACTATGAAGTGGAACAGATATCTTTCCTAATAATGTAGAATTTCATTTTCTCCTACTCCTAAAAGCAATTTTTCACCCATTTATCTCTCCCTGCCCCTCTTTAGACCCAGTCTGCTATATCTGTCTATCCTATTGCTCATTCCTTCTACAGGGAGCTTCTGAGCAAGGAAGAAAGTTCAAAAGTCATACTGTCTTACCTCATCAGTTCTGGCTTGTTTTACGGCCCAGCGGGACACACTTTACCTCCTAATTTAGTTCCTGCCTCTCCTCTGTATTGTCTTTTGCCCTTCCCTCACATGGACCCTGAGTAGAACAGCCTCTCGGATGTCCCTGGCTGAGTCCTGCCTCTATACCTTGGCACACAGACTTCCTGTTCCATGAAAAACCCTTGTCCTCTGTTTTGTAAAAGGGTGACTTCCTTAACTTCTGTCTTTGTCAATTTTCTTGTCACTTCAACCAAATAACTGACATATACAGACCAAGGAAAGGAATATTTTGGATCGTGGTTTTGGAAGTTTCAGTCCATGATCAACTGGCTCCAAGACAGAAGCATCTTGGCAGAGGTGCCTGGAGGAGAAGCTGCTCACGCCCTGGCTTCCAGGAGTGAGAGTGAGGAAGCATCCAGAAAGGCAGGGGCCAGGGGCCAGGCACAGCACAGTCCCTGGGGTGATGCTCCAAGACTCACTTCCCTTATCCTTCACCTGTAAGATCTCATTGCATTAGGGATGCCGTGTTTGTTCCCTCTCAACGCTGCCACTTCTCCAGCAGCCTCTTAGCCCAGTCACGCTGGCCATCAGATTAACCAGCACAACTTCATCTGTAAGTCTGCTTTTCTTTGTGAAGGAGCAAACCGACTCATGCTCAGGTTCCCCCGGAGCTGGCTGGATACCTCTGAGCACGCAGTCTGCTAGCTGTTGCCTCTCTTCCTCCCCAAGATGTGCACGTCTGGACAGCCGGCTTTGTCACATCTCCTCTCCCAAATCCTCCCTATCCCACCTTTCTCATAATCAGCCTCAACACGTGTTTGCAGAACGACCACTGAGGGGATGGCTGTAAAGACCATGGCGCGATGGCTACGTGTGACTATTTATTACACGTGATGTCTAGAAGTCGCTGTCCTTTGAACATGTTTAATGTAAGAAATTGCTCAGTCAGTTTACCTAGGTACACTGATGCACATATATGTTCCACAAATTAGAGAGAGCAGAAAGGATTCTTCATGAGGAGAGGAAGCTGCATGTGTATAATACATAAGGTATTCTATGTATGTCCACTGAGAGAGGGATGGGGGGGAGAGAGAGAGACAGAAAGAGAGATCGAGAGAGAGAGAGAGAAAAAGAGACAGAGAGAAAAACAGAGAGAGAGAGAAGATTGAAGGGGAAGGGAAGAAAGATTGTAAAGAAGTAAAATGAAAAGAAGAGAGCAAAATAGGAAAGCAAATGAGCACACAACCAAAGGGCAGACACAGAGAAAAGCCAGGCACTGTGGCGCAGGTCCAACCCCGGCACTCTGGGAAGCTAAAACAGAGGGATTAAAATTTCGAGCCCACCTGGGCAACTTAGGACACTTGGTTTCAAAATAAACCAAATGAAAAAGGGCTGGGGATGTAGCTCAGCATGAAGGCCTCAGTATCAATCCCACGTACAGCAAAAATAACACCAACAACAGTGACAAAGAGGTGAAACAAACATAGCCAAGCTGAATCGAAGGCTTTCTTCCAGAAATGTCATTGAAAAATCACCATAAGTTTTGATGTAGATAAAAGAATGCAATTTAAGAGATAAAGATTATCAATCAAGGAAAAAATAAGTCTTAGAATCTACTGTAATGATAAGTCTGCTATATAGGGTGTGTTTATTTGATAGGAAAATAAAGAAAAATAGGCAGATAGTTATTAAAGTAACAATCAGTCTGATTAGCAAACACATTCTTTCCACAGTAGAGGAATTTTCTAAAAATAGCATAGTGCTTTGGGAAGGTAAGTTTTCTGTAGGAAATGTGTACAGAGTTTTGGTGAGACCTGTTTGTATCTCTCAGTTGCATCTACTGACAATCTGTACAAATTGGGTGGCTTTTTTCTCCTCAGACCTCAGTTATCTATTTTGGGTTCAGTCAGAATAGATAGAATTTTGAAAACTGATTTGTAAGTGTTAAATTTGTGTGCTGAGAGATCATGCCGAAGGCAGTCACTGTAGGGAGAATAAGTGAGCATTGCTCTGCCCACCACAGCCTTACACACACACACACACACACACACCCCACAGCAGTGATTCCAGTCTGTACTCCCTGTTTTGCCTTTTTCTAAGGTCCATGCTACCAACTTCCCAGTAATTTTATTCTCTATGAAAACACAATTTGCAACACCAAGATTACCTTGGATGCATCTTATTGGTAATCGGATCTGAAGGGATATGAATGTGAGGCTGGAATTCAGGGGACACGGAAATACAGGACATGAGTTAAGTGAACAGTTCATAGCTGCGGTGCAAGTTGGCTGTGGTAGGGAATGAGGTGGCCCTGAAGGAGGCAGGCGAGCCCGAACTTGTTGGGGCCGTGAGCTCTGGCAAGTGGACCAAGGCACTGACCTGGGAAAACCCAGTCAAGGGACTAGCCCATCCCACTTAGGCAAGTTACTGTTGGCGGTGCCTTTCTGTCTAAGAACATCGTGACATCCACTTAATTATTTTAAAATAACTCTTAAGGCTTTTAAATGAGTATGCGAAGGGTACCATTTCTAGCTCTCTGCTGTCTGCTCCTCACCTGTCTTAGTTTGCAGGCTAGGGTCTCCAGGGTGATGTCACAGGCTGGTGAGGGGTCAGTCTGGCTCTGTTTCCGGCATAAAGGGAGGAATTCACTCTTATGTGAATTCAGAATGAAGTTTATCACAGTGACTGCAATTGGCCTCCAGGCTTTAGTAAGTCTGCTTACTTATCAAACCTGCCTACATGGAAACAAAGGAAGCCAGATACACAACTTTTTCTTAACTAATTTTTATTTTCAGTAATACCTACTAGGATGAACACTCTGTGTTATTAAAATCCTTATGTAATCATCACCTAGGAGACCCACATGATTCCAATTCCTGATTGGTGTGCAACATGTAAACTATAAGAATAATGGTTTCAGTTTGAAAACCTGAATGTTTTTGATGAGAAAAGGCACAAGACCCTGAAATGAAATGTTTTGCAATTCTAATTTAGAGTCCAATCATAGTAAGTCTTTTAGCTGCAATTTTCATATTTGCATATATATTTCATACTTACAAATGTATTTGGAACAATCCCTCAAGAATCTGACTTTCTTCATTCCAGATGTGGCTTCGATATTTACAGCAAAGAGCTACAGCTGCTTAAAAATTATCTGACTCCAACATTGGCAGTCACCATGACGGGGCCACCACTGAGAAAAGACTACAGTTTCATTCATTCTGATCAAATTCAACTTGGTGTTGTCAGTTCCTTCCTGAAGTTTAGGCTTGCTTGGGGGAAAACTTCAGAAGGTGAGTGTGACTTAGTATTTTAAATTGTGATGTAAATAATTTGAGAGAAAAATAAAAAATGGTGGGAAGCAGGGAGGTTGATGTCATGGAGGGAGAATATGTGCAGATGGGGCAGAAGGGAAGAAAGAGAGGCAAAATCAGGAAGATGTTATTCCCGTCTGTCCTCCCAGCTGACTGACGAAGAAGCCTAGCTCACATATTATGCTCAAGATTTAATACATAAATAAAGTAATGTGTTAAAAAAATTAGAAAAAATGTTAGCATAGAAAATAAAATCAAAGACTTCCCAGCTTTCCTTCCTTCCTCTGGTGTTTTTTTTTTTTTTTTTTTTCCCACTGTACATCTCTGAAAAAATTTATTAAGCTCTTTGTGGTTTAGATTTATTTTCTGTAAACTGGAAATTTTAGTAGTGCCTCCACGCAGGAGGAATACTAGTATTTCAGTGTGTTAATGTAACCCAAAGTTCTAAAAGAGTTCCTGGACATATAGCAAGCATTTTGCAAATTTTGACTCTTAGTCACTGACATCTTAAGAAATCAGCAACCAACTGTGATTCTTCTAGCACCCAAGTGTATTTTATGTAAGTCTTAACAATACATCACATGTGGTTGCTATAGAAACAGCAATTTGAATTTGTTGCCTTCAGTAAATTACATTTCCAGCATAATTCTGCATTGTTAGGATTCATTATACAGTAGTTAAAAATAGCACAGAGCGGGAACAAGGGGCGTGAGCTCTCCCTAAGGAACCTAGAACGGTGCCTACTGTGCCCTGGGCATGGTCTCCAAGGTGTTCCTACAGCACCAGGTCTGCTTCTGCACCGCTGAGGTGGGCGGCCCTTCTCTCTCCTGCCGGCCTTCCAGGGAAAGCACTGCTGAAGTGCCCATCGCCATAACAACAGGCTGCTCTCCTTAAACAAGATCCTTGTTTCCATGGTAACCGCGACATCTTAAAGTGCAGCAGCCTGTGTTTTAATCAGTCAAGCCGTCCTTTGTCAGAAAGCAGCCCCATGTCATCGCTCATACAGTGACATGGTTGTAGGACACAGTACAGGAACGAAATGGAGGAGATGCTCACGGAAAATACAAACAAAACTGATTAATTCTTTTTCACAATTCCCTTTCTTGTTCATAAAACAAAAACCTGTAGGATACACAACCCATAGTCCCTGAATTGAATGCAAAATGTTTTTATTCTGTACAAGTTGGCCATGCTAAAGCAACATCCTGACCCATAAAAATGAAAACATCTGTGTTCTGAATCTGTCTCATCCCTTCCCTTTCTAAAGCTAAGGTTGAACAGTATGAAATATGCCTTAAGTTTTATGCTAAGGTCTTTTACCCTCATTTAGATAGTCTCAAGGCCAAATAAGTTAGAGAAATGTATTCCCCCAAATTATAAAAGATATAAGGCACAGTCACTGTTGACTCCATCATTTTCTTCATTTGCACTGACTTGTTTTCTGATAATTTTCCTCAAGGAGGATTGAAAACAGTGAGCCTGGCTGGTGTTTTGGGTTTCACATCAGGAGTGCTTACAACCTGAGCTTACACTGTCAGTCAGGGGCAGAAGCTGGGGTGCGGGGCTGAGGGCTCTTCTAGTGAGCTTAATTTCTTATCTGCCATTTTGGCAACTGGCATATTCTTATATTCAGATAGAACTGGGTTAAAACCCTGCTCCATGGTATTTTAGTGATATGACTGAGCTTAAATTTTCCCACTTACAAAGCGCAGTTAAACTTGTAGACCTCGTGGTTGTTGGGCGAACCAGGCAAGCTAAGACATGGGAAGTCCTGACACAGGCCTTACCTTGCTTAATGATGCAAAGTCCTCAACTATTAAAAATATCTGCCGTCACCACTATTGTCATCATAAATCAGGCTTGAATGTTAACAGTGTAATAAAAAAGCTACTGGTATTAACACAAAAAAAACTCCTCAACAATAAACATGTTCTCATTCTCATGATACATGTAAACATTGAAGTAAAAGCTAACCATGACATAAGATATATGTTAACGTAAGAGATGTTCAGCACTAGGGCTCTGAGTTAAAATACTTGATACAGGGCAAGATTGTTTTATCCAGCTGTCTTTTTGTTTAAGACAAAGGAATCTGGATTTTCTTTTTCTTTTATAATCTCTGTGGCTCTCAGTGGATCACAATGCTTTAGGCTGTCAGATTTTTTAAGGAAAATCCTGAATTTACATGTTCCATTTCCCTGTGTACCCCAGAGCTGGTCAGACACTGTGTCTTGATTTTTGTGTGAAAAACACCATCCCTCTAAATGTGAGATTTGTACTGTCCCTGACTTTGGCACTGGCTGGAAACTCCAGTCGTGGTCCCAGGTCGCGGACTCCAGATGGCAGCTTGGCTGGGTTCTTGTGCTGTCAGAAAACATGCTGGAAGGGCCCGGATTCCAGGCCACCTGAGAAGCTATTTCAGAGGACAATAGGTGACCCTTATGCATCTTTTCCTTTGTCTGAGTCCATGAAAGAGGCAGGAACAGCAGGTTGTCCTCAGCCTAATAACTGACTGTCAAATCTTTGTTATGCAGTCCAATTTTGATGCCCATGATTTGACAAAGCCCATGATGCTAGCCATTGTGAAATTCATCGGATGGGAGCTGGTCTTCTTTCTGCTCTTCTCTGTCTGTTCTGAAAGAAAAACAAAGAATGAGAACAGTGTGTTCCGAGAGATCCTCACGTTTGAATCCCTCATTTTATAGCTCTTGGCAGGAGGTAAGCCAGGCCGGGAGGAATCTGCGTGGCTCTTCTCCTGAGCCCCTCGTTTCAAAGAACTCTTCAGCTTCTTACTTGTGCTAGCTTTTTAGCACTGTGAAAAACGCCTGAGAAAATGAAGAGAGAAAAAGAAGGTTTATTTAGGATCACAATTTCGGAGGTCTCAGTCCAGAGACCTCTGCTGTTCAGAGTCTGTGAGGTGGCACACAGGGTGGGCATATGTGGTGGCAGTCTGTTCACCTGGGGAAGCAAGAGAAAGGGGAGAAAAGAGTGTTGTCCTAATACCCTCTCAAGGTCACATCCCGTATGACTAAACTTCTTCCCACAGCCCCTACAGCCTTCCAATACCAGCCATGTGCTGGGGACCAAGGCTTGAACCCAGCCTCTTTTGGGGGGCATGTAAGCCATAACATTACCACTCTCTCAACTCTTATGGTTATCAGAAATTAATTGAGATTTTACTTTAAAATTACCTATGGAAAGTCTTCAAGAGCTTTGATGAAAGATAAGGACCAAGATCCTAGATACTTAAAATTTAAGCATCAATAAGAAAAGGTTTAGACCTGGAATCTAAGAAGACTGTTTTTGTCTGCAGGTGCTACTATAACAAAACACTGCAGAGAGGCTAATTAATAACCAATAGAGTTTGTTGTTCCCCAGCAGATCTGCAGGCTGAGAAGTTCAAGATCAAACAGCAAGTAGCATTTAAATCTGGTGATGACTTGTTTCTCATAGATGGCACAGTCCAGGTGTCCTCACATGGCAGAAGAGTGCGAGAGCAAAAGGAGTCCATGCCAGCTCCCACTAGCCCCTTGTGAGGTACTGATTCATTCAGGGGGACAGGACTCCTGAGGACCTAGCCACACTTTAGATCACACAATAGGAATGAACTTTCTGTATGAGTTGTAGTGGAGACGCATGCAAACTAAGCAAAGACCCTGAGTCCCTGTAGTGACAAGCGGTATAGCGACCAGAGGAGGCTCGGAACAGGCAATGCCATCAAGAAGATTGGTTACCTGTGTGATGATCTCTCAGTGTCACAACAAACTATTATAAATGCTAAGAAACTTTAAACAATGGGATTGGTTGTGTCACAGTTCTAGAAGCTAGAAGTTTGAAATCAAGACATTGGCAGGGCTAAAATGTCTCCAGGGGACAAGTCTCCCCCACCTCTTGAAAGTTTCCAGGGAGCCAATGGAGCTCCATCCTCCTGTGGAGCCTGTCCTTGCAGTTCCAGCTTTTGTCTCTGGTGGCCTCATCCTGGCTCAGTGCCTCTTCTCTTTTTTTAATTAGGAAGCCACTCCTACTGGGTCAGGGCTGCTGAAACTCAGGATGACCTAATTTGCACAAGATACAAGTGCAATGTCTCTCTTCAAATAAGGTCAGGTTCTCCAGGTTCCAGGAATGCAAGAAGCTTATGGATTCTTGTAGTGTGCAATCCTGTTGTTTTGTTTTGTTGAGTCCCTCTCCTCACCTTATTCTTAATTGGACACCATTTTGAGGAGATCTGGAGATATTTATAGAGTACAAATCAACAGGCAAGGATCATATCAGAAAATTCTTTATCTTGTGTATGAAAATAAGAAACGACAGTTTGCATCTGTAATTGTGGACTCGCTGGGAGACTTGGGGAAAAAACAATAATCAACACATTTACTTCCCGTAAGCTTGATTGTGCCTCGTGAGTCACATCATAAGTGAACACATGACATGCTTGGAGCAAAGACAGAAATAATTTGAATTCGGGTTAGTGAGTTGCTTTTTAAAGAACTTTCCCTGAATAAAGAGACATATTTTTTCTAGTGTATAGAAGATTGAAAGAAAAAGAATTCATCTCGTAATTTTTCACTCTGTTTTTTTCTTTCTAGAAATCCACCTTCAGTAATAAAGAAAAATAAGTTTATGAACCATGACTTTATGTTGCATTTGACTCCCAGATTCTGATGAAGCCATCATGGGGAATATGCTATTAACTATATAGCTTCCCAGCTTGCAAGAATATGCAAGGGTGACACTCCAGGTAAAGCCTGTGGGTCCCTTCACACCTGCTTGTGTCTGAGTACCTGTTCATAACTGAGGGTTGTCTCTGTGCCTGAGAACTCAGCGGTGTTAAAATTCAAGTGCTCCGTATTTTTAAAAATATCTTATTCCTCACAGTGAATTCTAGAATCCAAGGATCTGCTCTGCTCTGCCAACATCAAAGTACTGAGTGGGAGGCTGGAGCAGAACATGTATATAAATCTGGTAAACAGTGTTTAAAATTAGTATGTGACAACCACAATTTTTATCCTTTTCCATGGCTTCCCTTGGGCATTAATTAATACAACATTTTAAGCATTTTCTCTTGCAGAGTTACTTGTCCTGTGTATTAAAATATTCAGACTATGCATCCAACAGACAGAAATACTAAATTTTAATGACTATTTCTGAAATAGCAGGGAGTTGCAATGGTCATACTCAGTCTGTAATAGACATCGGTAAAACTGAAATCCTCTCCATTAATATGCAGATGAGCCAAGTTTGAAAATTACCTTTTGGAGGGAGAGATGTTTTGTTCCTGATGGAAAGTTAAAATTAGGGTATGTTACTATGATTTTGGGAAATGGTCTCTGTATCTACCTGTTTATTATTGTCTGTCTCTTATCTCTCCTTTCTTCCTTCCCCTCTCTTCCCTCTGATTCCTTTCCTTCCTCCTCCCTCCCTCCCCATCCCTCTCTTTTTCCTTCCCTTCCTCTCTTATTTGAATATAGAAAATTGAATTCTGCTATATCAGTCTTCTGCACTTTATCTTTGTATTGTTTATGAGAATAAAAATGGTATCAAAACTAATATAGATGCATATTAGATGTTAAAAACTTGTTCTCCCATTGTTTACAAATATTCCTTTTTTAATCATCTACCTGGTAAATGACTGATTGAATGTATAACCAAAGCACACTGCTCGTTTGGACTTACAACTAGTTTTTTTTTTTTCCTAACAGTTCTGTATATCCTGTTTACAGAGCCTCAATATCCTTTTCTGTGTACAGTATACCTTGGTTATATAGCACTATAATTTCCACTGATTGTATTATACAGTAAAGTCTGTACTTTTAAGCTATGTTATGCATTACAGTACTGCATTTAATGGTTATGCAAATAAAATCCAAGTCATCAAGTTTCAAAGTTTACTTTGACCCTTTCCTTGATCTTAATATTGTAATATATATGCTATATTCTATTCCTCATTTAGAGAGCAATCCAATTAATGATCTAGGTGCAGGAACAAAACTCGATTGTTATCTGCACTTTAAATAATGTTTTCTCTTGTAAAATACCTTTTTAATAACATTTGATTATTTCTATTTATTGCCTTTAAACCCACCTTAAGCATGGCAATTAATGTTTGGTTCACATAGAGCATATTTTTGTGCAAGTCAATTTCAAGGCAAGATTTATAACTTAAATCTTTGTGTTTCTCTCAAATTGGTGCTTAAATTTTCATGACTAAAACCACAGAAAACACACAAAAAGATTCATTTTGACGAGCCCCTAAAATGTCTCCTGAAACACTCTGAATGGCTGGCTTTGGCAACTCATACACTAATTCGTTAAGAGAAACATTGACCATCTGCCATGTGGAAAATCTCTGACATGCTGCCTACGACCGAGAAACTGCATAGACTTCTTTCTTTTGTAGATTTTAGATCTGCTAGTGGATATAACATGCTAGAGTACATTATCTATGATACAGTACCAACATGTCTGTGGTCAGAAGATATAGGCATCTGAACCCCTGCAGCTCTTCTGATGGTCTTGGAATCTACTTGGCAGTACAGATGTAAGGTGTCTCATTCCTAACAACTGAGGGTGGATGCAGAAAATATTTTATACACACACACATATATATATTAGGATATTAATCAGCCATAGTGTGAATTACCTCCTATCATTTATAACAACATGGATGCAACTGGAGATCAATATGTTAAGTGAAATAAAACCGGCACAGGAAGGCCAAAGACCAAATGATCTCACTCGTGTGCATTCTAACACGGGTGACCTTCTAGTGGGGAGAGACTGAGTAGTAAGTTTCAGTTAGGAGTCAAAAGACTGGGTGTCCTACTTCACAACCGGGACAGTGATTACATAGTCACCTAGATAGTAATAAGCTAGATGAAAAGATCATAAACTGTGCTCACCTTGAAGGAAGGAAGATGGGTGATTGAGGAGACAGACATAACATACTAACCCTGCTTTAATCCTACCCAGTACATATCTGTATCAGCACACCACATAGCACCTCCTGATTATGTACAAATTTTATGTTTCTAAGGTTATCAAGTGAAATAATTTTAAATAAGTTAGCCAAACAGAAATTGTATCCCCTCTGAGTCACACACAAATACAGCAGCTCTTAGAATGAACAACAAATAAGTTTAAGTCACTATCTATACGTGATAATCTCTAAACAAAAACTGTTTATCTCCTATCTCTTTTGCCATCTTCATAAATCCACTTTTGAAATGTCTTTTTCCATTATGAATGTGGTAACTTCATAGATGTATTTCACTTATTGACCATGATACAAGGGATCCTCAGATTAGACTGAATCTTTGGTGTGACCTAACTGGACCTATTTACATTTACTGCTCATGACAATGGTATGGGGTGACAATGGTAATATAAATTTCACTAGTGGATTTCCACTTAAAGATATTTTGTCACTGGAATCTCTCAACTATAATATACACAAAAAGCAGGTTATTTTGTGTTTCACACCTTTAAAAACAGCTACCCATAATCAGTTATTAAAAACATAAATAGGCTTGAAACAAACTTGTATCTCTTCAAATACTAGCATTTCTCCATTACATCATACTGTTATTCAAATTTTCCCTCTGTTACATAGTATAGTTTAATTAGTATAGAATTTATATGCAAATATTTTAAAATAGCTTGACTCAATAAAAATTAGGCCAATGTTGTTGAATAAAATAATACTTATAATAAAATTACATTAGTAGAAAAATTGCCCTTCACTGTTTTTGAGGTGACAAAAAGTGAGTTTTTCTGTTACTAATGAAGATATTATGGTTGCTTTATTGTGCATGTAGTTTTAGAGTTGGTTTAGCTTTCACACCTCACTGTTTATACAATCTGGTGGTAAACTTTTTCATTTTTCAGTGCATTACAACAATGAAAGTTGGGGAGTTAACTGATATTACTTGACTGCTCAAGGTCATCTTACTAATAAAGTGAGATTAAAAATTAGAAATAAACCCTGGAGATTCTACTCTGCTGATTGATTCACTGAGTCATAATGTTTTCCTGACACTTCATTATTTATGTGGGCAAAGAGCTGTGCCTTGATAAAATTTTAAATTAAGTCTATTTTTAACTTTACACAAAAAATAAAAACTTTTACATGTTACTAGGGTACTGTGGGATGTTTTTGCCTCAGGTATATACTGTATAATATTTAAAACAGGTGAAAGATTTTTCTTCAGACATATTTTGTTATGGTTAAAAACATTCAAACTCTTGTTTTTAAGTTATTCTAGTAAAATTATGACAACATATCTCATTCCAGAAAATATATATTTACATAAAAAAGAAAAAGAAAAGGCTGTTAAGACTCAGAAGGAAAGGGAATCTCTTTTTTGTGGGGGAGAGGGCAGAAGGCAAATTAGTATAGTCATCTTAGTAAACAGTATGGAGGTCTCTAAAAATTTTTAAAATAGAGCAGCTACATGATACAGTGACCTCACTCCTGCATGTACATCCACAGGAAATGGGATTTGCAGGTCAAGAAGGCATCTTTGGGGCCAAGAACATCGCAGCACTATTTATGACAGCCAAGCTATTAAGGCAAACTAAGTGTCCATCAAGTGATGAGTAGATTAAGAAAGTGTGATATGACCACACAATGTGATACTACTCCGCCATAAAAAAGAATGAAATTCTGTCATTTGTAATAACGTGGATGGAAACAGAAGTCATTAAATAAAATAAGCCAGGCACAGAAAGACAAGATCCACGTGTTCTTCTTCACACATTCAGTCTGAAAATGCTGGTTTCAAAGGGGTTGGCAGTGGAAGTGTGGTTCTGGGAGGCCCAGGAGAGCAGAGAGAGCAGGGTGGAGGAGGGCTGGGTAGGAGATCCCGGTTAGAAGCTGTACTGTGGTGTTGCACCGTAGGCTGAGTATGAGTTATGCACATTTTCTAATACTCAACATTTATAATTTTTGGACCTCCTCATGCCAGTGTATCTTTCGATGAAGCTGATTTTAAGTGGAACAATGTGATTTATAAGTGCAGTTTATACTTCGGCTACTGAAAGCTAATGTAAAGAGAATCATCAGTATTTGGGTTTTCAATTTTCCATTTCATAATGCTAGCATTGTGAACTAATGTATTGGGGAAAATATTTCATTGGAGGAAATTCTTAATTAAGACAGGAAAATAAATTAAACTCTTAATGAGAAACAGTTAAGCTGAAGATTTTAGATGGCATTCACTAGACTAGAAATTCAAATGCCTCTACTGTATTTGATCTCCATACACATTATAATAAAATTTAAACTATAAGATTCAACATGATAAATTTCAAGATGTTTGTTTTTTGTCCCATGAGTGGACTGAAATCATTCAATATATATATTTTGTTTGAATAGGATTTGAATTTACTGTAATTAAAACATATTTATTTAATTCATCTTATCTTATAGGAGAAGAAAGTTAATTAAGGATAAACAATGTATTTCAACCACACAGTTTTTTTTTTTTTTTTTTTTTTTTTTTTTTTTTTTGTCTTTTTCATTTTTATCGGTACCCGGGATCGAACTCACGACCGCCTGCTTGCAAGGCAGGTGCTTATGCCGCTGAGCTAAATCCCCAGCCCCAACCACACAGTTTTTACAAAATATATCTTTACAAAAGAAAATGGATGTGATTCCTTTTGTACTGTATGAAAAATACAATGTTTGATTGACCCAGTTTTCCCTGAATAGCAGGATATATTTCCGAGCTATGTCTAGTATTTACTCTGCTTGATTCTGCTCTTAGTGAATGAGCAATAAGTATTTTTTTTTAATAAATAAGTGGTATGGGAGAAAGGGTCAGGGCATATTTAAGAAGCAGTAAGTATTTGAATCTGAATTAAACCATTACTAGTAATTTGATGGTCCATATATTTTTTGTGTAGACAGTGCTCAGATGTGGGCAAGAAAATTGAAATAAAACTAAAGATGCTACCACGGGAAGAGACAGCATGAGATTTGTGCAAACCACTGTGATTGAATACTTCTCAGACCTCAATGGGACTATGGATTTAAAATGCATAAGGGAAAATATGATAGGGTAAAATAATTGCAAAATCATCTCCAAAGGGCTAATATAATAATCAAAATGATAAATCAGGATCCATTTTTAATTTCTTTACAAAGTTTATTTTCTTAGTATATGTTTGCAGAATATAATGATTATATTCCTCATAAAGGAATGGAACATATACACAATATTCTTTAAAGCTTGTATTACTCAGCTTTCTGTTGCTGTGACAAAATACCTAGGATAAAGAAAATTAAGAAAGAAAAATTTATTTTGGCTCACAGTTTCTGAATTTTCACTCAGTGGTCACTTGGCTTGGTTGCTTTGAATGTGACAAGATAGTGCATCACTGCAGGAATACACTGTAGAGGAGGCCTACCCCCGTACTGGTGCCTGGAATAGGGAGGGGGCTGGTGCTCCAATGCCCTTGAAGAGCACTGGTCCAACTTCTGCCTCCTCGGCCTCGCTGCCTGAGTTCTGTCAGGGCCTAACAGTGCCACAGAATGTGGACCAAGCTTTCGGCATATGGGCCTCTGGAGACTTTAAAGACCTAAACCATAACTCTGAGCTTATCAACTTCTTTTCAGAAAACATCTGTTAGTTTCTATACCTTACCTACATGTAGTAGGATAGAAATATTGACCAAAGCTTAAATTGTTTTAACAGTTCTCAAGGCATTTTGGGAAATAAGTACAACGATTAGTGCCTGTAATAATGTCAGAATTTTATTTACATAAATTAAAAAT